CGAGCTCGGAGCGGGGCCCGAGCCCGGGGCCGCCGGAGGAGGGCGCGCAGGCCCTGGAACAGTTCGCGGCGCTGCACGGCCCGGCGCTGCGCGCGTCGGGAGTCCCCGAGCTGTATTGGGGTCGCCTCCTGCACAAGCTGGAGCACGAGGTGCGGACCGGCTACGCGGGGCGGGCGGCGGCCGGGCCGGGGGTCGGGGTGTGTGGGGGGCCCTGAGACGCACACCCTGCTCTGGGCCCTTCTCCGGGGAAGGGGGCCTCGGGCCCGTGCTGGGCCGAGGACGGGCAGTGCTGGGGTGGCAGGGCGGCCGCCTGGAGGACACGTGCGGTTGAGGGGTGGGAGGCTGTCCAGGGGAGTTCGTGGCGGGAGAAGTGCAGAAAGGGGAGACCTGGGGAGAAGTGCAGGTGTATGTGCCTGGAGAGTTGGGAATGGATGAGGCTGGAGAGGTTTGAAGGGGAAGCGCCACGAATGCCGAGTGGAGCGAGTCAGGCTTGCCTTGGGAGTTTAGCAGCCTGCCAAGGAGGGTTTGGGGCCTGAGAGTGAGAGCATGAGGCCCACCCGTTAGCGTGGCCCTTCTTCTGCCAGCATCTGGGGCTGGGCCAGGGCTGCAGTGCGAGCTGGAACTAAATCCAGTTTTGGTTCCCATTGTGTGCCAGGCGCTGTGCTGACTTCTGCACACATGCGATCCCCGCAACAGCCCTGGGAGGAGCAAGATTCATCACCCCATTTTACAGTTGAGAAAACAGGCTTAGGGAGAGGAAGTGAGTCTCCTAAGAGCCCTCAGACTTCAAAGCCGGGAGCCTTGTCTTAGCCACTGTCTGCTTCAGAATAGAATCCCCTGAATTCGTGTGGCTTTACCACTTCGTAGAGTTCTTTCACGTTTCTTCATTGATCTAGTCCCTGTTTTGCAAATTAAAGGAAACAGGCTGCAGGAGGTGGAGGAAGAATTTAAAGAAAAATGAAAAGGGTTTAGATGCTTCTGGATTCTTTTCTTATTGGAGGAAAAGGCTCCATTCTGCTACCAGCCTGCACTAACCTGAACCTCCAAAGGGTGTCCCTGCTGGCTCCGGCAGAGGAAAGACCCTGGTGTTTGGTTGTTTGCCCAGGCACTGAGGCTAAGCACATCCACAAGGCCGGCCAGTGGGGCCTTTTTCTTAGCTGGAACCAGGCTCCTCTTCCGGGCTGCCTCCTGGGCTGCAGATAAACAGCTTAGTAGTGAAGGTGCAGGTGATAAGATGGGTGGAGCCCTAGAGCCAGGAAGCCAGGGTCAGGGCCAGGAGATAGGAGTCCCCAGAGCCTGGCCGTGTGGCAAGCCGCACCCTCTCAGCCGCTGTTTCTCCATCTGTAATGTCAAGGGTTGGACCAAGCGCCTTCTAAAGCACCTTGCAGCGCCTTAGATGCTTAAAAAAAAAAAAATGCAGCTTCACTAGCACCTCAGTATGATACCTAATGTTTGGTAATAGTGAATTTCCTTTGCCTGTATGACTGGCCCTCAGCTCTGCCCCATTTCCTGAGCGCTTACCCTGGGCCTGTGCTGGGCAGAAGGGAGGATACAAAGGTCCTCAGGTGCTGGCCGGAAGCTGCCCGATGTGGCAGTGCCCCCGGCCCCAGCCCAGCCAGCCTCCGCTAGTAGTGAATCCTCGGGCATCTCGCTCACCCTGTCGGAGCCCAAGTCTCCATCTGTAACGCAGGGATGTTGAGGGGGCACCTGGCTCCTGGCATCGGCGGGTGGGGTGGGGTGGGGGCGTGGCATGAGAAGTAAGCTTCAGCCAGGGTCCACACCTAGTGGGCAGTCACCAAGCAGATTCCGGTGCCCCAAACCTGACTGGGGCAGTGGAGGGCCAAGGGACCAAGGACCTGCCTAAGGCCTGGCTATTCCTTGGCTGAGGAGAAGGGCGACCGCCATCCCTTCCTGCTGGGACTGGGGGAGCACCAGTGAGACGGTGCAGGACAGTGGTTTTGCAGCTGGGAAGTACAGAGAATAAGAAGAGGTGACATTTACTTCTGAGACACTCCCCATCCTCTCCAGAGGACCGGTTTCCTTTCTAGTCAGGGTCACTGGCCTGGCCAGGGGTCAGGGAAGCGCCCTTCTGCTGGCAGATGCTTTTTCTGCTGGTGTGCTGACCACCCCGCACACACGGACAGTGCTCACCCCCTCACACACATGCATTCGCGCAGTACTCACTCCCCTATACACACACACTGTGCTAATCCTCCCTACACACACAGACACCCACATATACACGTGCTAACCCCCCTACACACACAGACACACATATACACGTGCTAACCCCCTTACACACACAGACACACATATACACGTGCTAATCCCCCTACATGCACAGACACACACACATACACTGTGCTAACCCCGTACACAGGCACACACACAGACACTCTGCTAACCCCCCTGCATGCACAGGCACGCACATACACACTGTGCTAACCCCCCTACACACACAGGCACACACACATACACTGTGCTAACCCCCACACGCACAGGCACGCACACACACACTGTGCTAACCCCCC